AGAGGAAGTACATGGAGAAAATGCAAAGGAGGTGACATGGAAGAAATGCTAGGGGAATAACAAAAACTGTGGTTGCGATTGCTGTTAATTACAGTGCGCACACGGTCACACGGCATTCACATGCTATAACTACTGCACTCCTTGCGCCACCATCCCCTTTGGCTGCGACTGTCTCTAATGATGGATTTGGGGGAGAATCCGAAACGTCAGGCCAATTAATTTTCTTGTTCCAGTGATCGCATCTTCGTCTTATAAACTGAAGTGTGAAGCAAAACATAGGTGAAGATGTCAGACCGATAAACAACTTTAATTGATCGTTCACAAGCAGTAATATGCTGCCTTTTGAAGACCGTATGATTGAAGTATATCCCAAAGCGACCAAATGCGCACGCGCAGTAACCATTTTCATTAACCCGAATTCAATAGCGCATTTTCATTTTGAAAAAGACTGTTTGATTAAGATGCAAAATTAGCTGTCGTCCAGCATAATCCGGAAATACTTCAGTAACTGCATCACTGCGGAAAATACACTCGGAGGAAATGCTTATCCAGGTAATGCAGGTATATCTAATCGATTTCCAATTCGACAATAATTAGAAATGTCCCGATTATAGTCATCTAATGGCGAATAATATTTTTTTAAAAATTGCATACACATGCTGAAAAAGAGTATATTTATAAAATTTTTACGATCATGAAGTTTTTATTTAAGTGGTTTACAGAGCATTTAGATTTACCGTGATATTTCATGAGTCGAGTGTGTTATTTATGTCATGTTTAGGATAAATACATATTTTTCCTTACGTGAATAGTATACAGCTCGTAGACTGCAAACTCTAAAAGCAAATGCGATAGTAAGTAGGACCTTAAATTACTAGCAAATGTATAGGCGTTTTTAATCCTGAATGCATATTTTTAGAGTATAACATTTTAAAAGGACGTGAACTTCTACAAAGGGGATTTAATTAATGATATTTTTTGAATATGTCTCCCATGCAACATATCTAAATATATGTTTGTCGCAAATCACTTGAAAAAGTCGTGCTACGCAAGTAGTTGTTTCATCAAATGCAACTATTGCGGGCGTCCAGAAAGATGTATATTCATTTATCGACATTGTGTCGTTACGGAAATGTCTTTGGAATATGCAGCACGTTAATTAATATCACGGCACTGTTTGAATAATCCCTCATGGTGCAAAGATAGCTGCAGTACCTGTGTCAATACTTTGCGAAATTGGTTATCCTCGGTGCGTAGTATGTATTTACATATTAATGTTGGATGCCATTGCACGTGCGATCAATTTTCATTAGAGACCTACGAGCGCTTAGATTTACTGCATTAGTCTTTCAACACAATGGAACGGCCTTTAGACTAACCACTGTTGTGGAGGTGGCATTTTAATTTTACAAGGGTCGGAAATAAAAAGAATGGTAGGGGGCGCTGGAATAGTACATGCTGTAAACTCTTATCTGAGTATTTATCAATGCTGCCGAGAAGGCAAGCACGTGATGCACATCGTTTGAGCTATCATATGTCCTCATAGCCAAGAAACGTAAGCAGATGTTTAATTCAGTCTTTAAGAGAGAATATTAGATACGGGCGCGTGGAAATGTTCGTGATACACAAACATATATATGCATAAACATTATGACAGATGGGCGTCTGCAGATCAGGTGACAGAACGTGCTTGTTCCGTTGGGGTTGGGTACGACTGGCTGATGACGGTTACTAAACCAGAAAAGACCATTCCGGTCTCCTTTATCTTTTTGGTACCATCTAATTTACTTATACGTTAACAGTTCTTTTCGAAAATGAAATTATCCATGCTGGAATTAAAGACCTCTCAAAAAGATTAGTGTTACAAGTACAATTTACACCACATTTATTTACTGCGCATAATTTTTGCGAGTTATTGACACGACTATTAACTGACCTCTGAAAAAATCTACACCGCAACTTATGCATATGTTTCTGAATGCGATTGGCCGAAACGACCGGAACGGGAGTAGACTAAAAGTCCGAAAATCACCGCACGTACAATAGTGTTGCAAACCAATAAAGAGGGCCTTTTCATCTGAACTCGTGTTATTATTTCTTGTTTGTTTCATTGGCCTCGGCGGGCACCTTATGACAGTCTCAACTGCAGTGACATACTGAAACCTGTACCAAGATCTTCGTTTCACTGTCGGACATGGTCGGATCACTAGAAAGCCTTTTAAGGTCACCTTGATGTCGTGTCTAAACTACATCTTTTAGCCCGAAATCTGAATTATTTTTTAGCAGATAATATCGCAGGCATAAGACCGTCTGATATAGCAAGATGCCATACTTGGAAATGAAGAAAGACTTCTTAAGACAGGGATATCCCATTTCATCTAGTCTAAATCCTGAAAAGACGGAATTTTCTTTCAAATGTCTAAAAGAATTAACATTTCATGTGTGTTTTTACGAAATAAATTTGAGTTTATATTGGAATCGCAAATCCGTAAGAAAAATCCAACACTACTTATGCAGTCATTTTTAGAGTGCAATTTTTGCAGGCGGCCGGAAGGAAGTTCGTTCAAAAGCTGGCATCCTGATGTAACTGAATCCTTACTAGTTTAATGATCTCGGATTGCTGAATTGACAGCAGGATAAAAAGTCACTTTTTTAATACTTGTATTGTTATCTAACTCATGAAATTGATGATTGAAACCGAGAGGATAATGTTTAGGGAACTAAAACCTTATTCATTTTGCTCATTTACTCAGCCTTTTGTAGGAATCTTTTGTTCTGTACAATACGTCAAAAAATGTTATCGGCAAAGATATTTTGTTAATTTTGGAGGAAATCTTCAGGCAATTTTCCACGTTAGAACCTTTCCGCATCCGCATGCCTTTAACTTTGAGATAAGAATAACCTTATGAGTCTTGCCGAACAGACCTTACCGCACTTAAAAGGAGATTTGTGGTAAATATTAACCACGGAAGAAGGTTACAAAAGAACGGGATTATCAACTTTGCCTGTCAGATTTGCAAATCATGAAGTGAATGAAGAAAGCCAAACCGACCACAATTCAAACAGAATAGTAGGCTCGTTTGTTTGCTGCAAAAGATTATCGTTAGCTGCTTAAGAAGTTAAAAAATGTTTAGGACCAACAATGTTTTTCTAGCCTTGCCGAATGAAAGAGTTAATCGCGTAGTTATCTACCGAAAGCGTACGTTAATAACGCACATTTCAAATAGTTGGTTTAATAGAAGGGGTTCTTCACTTTGTCAAAAGCATATTTGCCATTGGCTTTTGCTGTAGAAGTTCACGTTTTTGACAGCGAGGTTTCTTATTTGGCTTCGTCTCCAAATGTGGTCCAAATAGCCATCTCCATGAAAAATTACACCTACCTACCCAACACCCTTGTACATTTGAATAAATGTTGAGGATTTTTATTAGTATATGACACAAAATCTACGTGCATGGACAATCGGTTGAAAAAACTGAAAACCATGAAATGCTCATTGATAGCTCAACAACGACCTGAAGCGAAACCTACTTCGCTAACGGCAAAAGGACAAAAAAGTTTGACGGTGCGTTCACGATTGCCCCTGGCAATCCCATGCAAGTTTGGTTGACATTGGATGGCCGGCCAATTTTTGCACTTTTTAAAACTCTTGTTCCTGTGATAGCTCTATTGGGGAAATCAAACGACATCCTCTACATTTGAATAAAACGTATCTCTAATAAGGCAAAATGGATAAATTACTTTGACTTTGCGCAAAAGGATTATGAAACAAAAGATCAGATATCACGAAGATGACCGTGTGCTAGACCTCATAAAACCTCGTTCTTTAGGGGATATTTAATGAAACCGTGTGCAAAAAATAATTTTTCAAGTATTACAGTGCCCATACCATCGAATTTATTTAGTTATTAGAGTAGGCAAGCGTTACGCACTTACGGAGATGGTAGCTATTAATTTAGATAGAGGCCGTTCATCATTGTCTTGAAGAAGGAGACACGATCGCCGGGACAAGAGCTTTATTAGCCTGACGTTTCGGATTCCTACTCGAATCCATCATCAGAGACAAAAGAGCAGAAACGGGTGGTTGTTTCACAAGGGGCTGCGGTATTTATAGGATGCAGTAGCCATGCTACCGCATACCTATGAACGTGCACGTCTCCCCCCTTCATCCGGGATTGTCGCACTTGGTGTGATCATTGCTTGATGGCCGACATTCGAGTCGATAATTGCTGCAATTTCATCACGTGCGTTGGATGTTGGCGTGATGATTGCTCGACCATCTGACGCATCGACCCCGGTGTTGGGAAGAGTGTTCACCTCTGCGCTCCCCGCATGGCTTGTTACCCCGCCTAGGCGAAGTTTCAGTACGGAGTATGGAATGGGAAGATCGTTGCACTTGTTGATGGACTGGGTGCCAGTAAACAATGATTCCAGTAGCTCCCGGCTCACTCGGTTGGCACCTCTTGCGAGAATTTCGGCCTCATCGAATTTAAATGTGTGGCCGGATCTCGTCGAATGAGCTGCAACTTACGAGCTGGCGTCATTTCTGCTCACCGCTGCCGCGTGTTCGGCCATTCTCGTTCGGAGCTGTCTTCCGGTTTCTCCGACGTAGTTGCCTTGTCCGCAACTGCACCACCTCCGATAAACGACTCCAGACATTTCTTGCCGTGGCAGAGGGTCTTTCGGTTTCATGACCAGACACCTGATGGTTACCTCCGGTCTGTGTGCAACTCCAACCCCAAGTGGTACGAGAAGGCGGCCGACAGCTTCCGAAACGTTCTTGACATACGGAAGCGCACGCCAAAATTTGGGGTCCGTGCGGTTAGGCATTTTGTCCCTTTTGCGTATGCACCGGTTGACAAAGTTTCGCCGGTAGTCATTGGCTTTGAAGACCCGTCGGAGGTATTGTAGTTCAGCAATCTTGTCCTCCGGCTCACTGCAGTGCGTTTCGACACGCCAAAAGAGCGTCCTTACACAACTGCGTTTGTGGCTGATTGGGTGGTTACTGTTGAAGTTCTGTACTTGCATCGTATTTGTCGCTTTGCCGAACAATTTTGGTCTTTAGTCCACCACAATCCTTGCGGCATAAGAGGACATATAGGAAGACCAGCTGGTTGTTATCTTCCTCCTCCATCGTAAATTGAATGTCCGGTAAGACGGCGTTGAGATGTTCTTGGAATGTCAACACCTGATCACGTTCGATGACGACGAAGGTATCATCCACATCCCGGGCCCAGAATTTCGGTCTGTGGTGTTGGAAGACCAGCGACTCTAACCGTTGCAGGACCGCCTCGGCGATGAATCCCGAAATCGGCGAACCCATTGGTGTGCCCTTCACCTGTTCGTAGATTGTCCCGTCGAACGTGTAGTACGTCCTGAGACAGAGCTTCAGGAGCTGAAGGATTTGGGCGTGTCCAAGACGGTTCTCCGTTTCATCGTATTTGCTTTGTAGTAGCAGCTCAATTGTCTCGATCGCCAGGTCCTGGGGAATAGAAGTAAAAAGGGATGTAACATCAAAAGATACCATAACCTCATTTGGATGGATGCTTACCCCTTTGAGTTTCTCCAGGCATTGTGCTGACGAAGAGACCGTGGTGTCTGACTCTGCGGTCAGGAACTTGAGACTCCGGAACAGCCACTTAGCCAGTCTGTACGTTGGAGTCCCTTTGAGCGACACGATGGGTCGGAGAGGAGCGCCGTCTTTGTGCACCTTATGGAGGCCATAGAATCGGGCCAAAGTCGTATCTTGGGGTCTCGCCATGCGTCTGTGTGTGTCGATGTTGTGTCCATGTTTTGATGAATGCGGTTAGACTGACGCAATAATTTGTCGTTAGATTGGGCATATTTCACGAGTTAGGTCACGACATATGGCACCTCAGCATCGTGGTCTAGGTTTACAGCCAACATATCTCTTATCTCCTACCAACTATTCCTGGACCTTCCGGAAGAGATGGAGAAGTAATAAGAACGAACTTCATTTTCACGGAAAGTAAATTTGACGACCACAAAATCAGGGTCTAAAGCATGCAGTGGATGTGATGAACGAAGATCCTTGTAAATGCGATAGGTAAGTAGACGGTGTCATGCAAAGTGTGCTTTCGAATCTGCCAACAAGGGTATTCTCGGAAAAGTTGAAATCTAATTCTTGGCCTGACTGTTCGCGTACACTAATTATTTCCTCTTATCTAAAGATCGATCTTAATTTACAAGGTTTGTACTGCGCGGGCAGTCTAAAATGCTCGGATGACCCTTCTAATGTCAACAGAATGTTCATTGTCTGCTAGGTATTAATGACATGTAGTATATTCTTGTGTTTAACTCCCGTCGTACAAAACATTTTACTCAATCGTTTGGTCTAACACCGCAGAGCATTAGAGGTGGCGTCGAATCATATTCCTGAGACGTTCATATTTCCCTGTTTTAACACCAACCATAAAAAATGGTCCCAACCCTATCTCTGACTCCTTTGCTCATAAGCCTAACATTTTTCCTCCAGAAATTTAGGGCAAAGCAACTTGCAGTAGGAATTGGCGTCAATATCTTGTTCCCAACTGATTATTCTATTTACACGTGCGAGTAATACGCACTTTTCCATCCCGATTTCATTTTGATTAGGAGCTGAGTGTCTGCATTCCAATTAAGCGGTCAAATAACGATTGGAAATCAGCGATCGACTAGAAAGTCGTTTCTGGGATGGCCATTTTTTGGCTAATTTACATTATGGGTTTGCTGTCACACTGACAAATGCAGTTCAATTGTCAAACCTAAGAGCTGTACACGGATTTTTCCGTCAATGTAATACTTCCGAAATGGAATTACAACAAAATACGTCAGTTCTCGGTGTTCTTTGAAAGAGAACAAATTTTTTTACTGGTCTCCAGGCATTTAAGGCCCATTTGCGGAATCAGGATTCATCATTACACTGATATGGACAGCCATAACACTGAGTCAATTTAATTTTAGTTTTATAAAATGAGCATTATCTAATTTTGCAAAGGTTTTGATTTTTCCACTCGTTTCTGGTCTACTAGAGTTAGAAAACTCCAGGTCCAAATAACTATTTAAGGGAAAACACCAATGCTGAAATGACCATTGTTAACGTAATTTTGATTTAAATGTAAATTTTTGATCAACAGTATCAAAAACTAGCCGACACGCCCCACAAACAACTCTATAGTAACGGAAAGGAAAATCCCTGATAACGCCTTTGCTTTCCGTGGGGTCAAATAATAGCGAGCCAATGTGCTTTTTAACGCACCCAGTTATCGTTGAAGCAGTGATCAGAGCTTTAATATGCAATTTTGCTACGCGAAGAAGCCCGAGATCCATGCTCTGCATTTAGACACTAACTTCGTCCAGCGAGGTCAGGTCAAGTGTTCCAAACTTCATAATCCTGCTAATTACTTCAGAAATATATTCTTCTATGACGGAGCAGGTTTTAAACGCTTCCCTTTCCGTAACTTTATTCCCAGTACTTAAGGAGTAACGACAACAGTCTACCGACAACCATCCTCCACCTCGTCAGAAACCAGTCCCTGTAGCAAAAAACATTTACGTACACACACGTACTTTACCTGTGGGCAAGTACTCATCGTAGCATGTCAGTTGGTAAGAGAGCGCAAATGGACTCCGTCTCTGAAGCCGATTGTCTCAAACGAACTACCGCAAACGACCGGCCACAACTGAGAAAACCAGTCAGTTCAATCTAGGCTTAACAATTTTGAGCCCAAAATGGTGTTTCTTTGGCCGTCGGTAGTTCTTTTTTCAAAGGTAATGTCTTTATCGCTTCAACATGACCCATAGGTTTCTTTTACTGAACCACCATATATGTCGAGCAAAAACCTGTACTCAAAATAATGCTGGCTTTGTTACAGCCGCAACCTCACTGAAGGAACAACGTTGTCCATTTGCTTCTATTTTTAGGCTTTTTATGATAGTTAGCAGATGCGACTTGTATACACATTCTAGCATATTTAAGGAACGTGAAGGTGTGCGTTTGTTGGCAGTTGGAATTGTCGTCTGCAATCGTAGACTGGAATCACTCTCTGTCTTGAATTTTATCTATTTTGTACCATATACCGGGGTCATGTTTACGCGTATTTTCACCCAGTTCTACCATCATGCATTTTGTTTTGGAAATGTCCCCATTTTGAAATCCTGGTTTTCAAGTGACGGCTAAAGGGCGCGTCTCAGTTTGCGAGGGCTTTTAATAAAAATACTGCATTCTTACGACTAACTAAAATCTTAGCATATGACAAGTGAGCAAACCGCCTTTTAATGCGTTTAACTATTTTTAGGACAAAACAACAGTCACTTACGGAACGCGCCATCCTCAAACCATACCGAAAAACGAATACAGTATGCGAGCTAACTCATGAAATGTCAACCGAAATTTCGAAATAGGTCGTCGTTTCGAAAAGACTAACTAAGTGAAACTGTAAAACCAATCATCTTACAACATACTACTATGATAAATCTGCTACCTCAGGATGCCGGCTGCATGCAGAAACTACATTCTGTACAAAACGACTGGGTAAGTAGCATGCATTTTGCTCGTTGATTTTCGATGCCCTTAAAGATTTTATTATATTCCACAGAAAACATGCATAAAAATATCCATTCTTTTGCACAATCGGTAGACAATTACGTCTTTTTTCAATTTTACACTCAAAAGAAAGGTATAATCCGGTTTCAAAAGCCTTTTCCAATTCATGAGTAATTTTTAAACCGACCTGTCGTTATACTTGCATTCAAAGTTCCCAAACTACAAGCAATATAATTTCTTCGTACGAAAGATAATACATTCCTCTACCGTATTGTGAGGAGACCATATGGGGTTCATAAAACTAAGCAGTGGATTCGAACGACATTATTACCTTTACAATCCACGTTGGTAACTGCAGAGGTATGACGATTTCTGAAGGGTACATTCACGGTACTAAAAGATTTCATAATTTAAAACCTTTTGAAAACCGAATTATCTCATTCTTTTAAGTGTAAAATTGGAAGAAGACGTAATTTTATACACGTTCTCCATGAGATATAATTGCATGTTTAAGGGCGTCAAAAATCAGTGAAAAAAACCAACCTACATTAGTCGTCATTTTTTATAAAATGTAATTTTTGGATGCCGCCGGAAGGAATTTTACTCGAAAGCCGGAGTCCTGGAATAACTGAATTATTATAGAATAATGCTGTACAATGATTGGTTTCACAATCCGATTTAATTGATGTTTTTGAAACGAAGAGACATTTCGGAATTTCTGCTTAGATTTCTCGAGTTAGCCCGCCTACTGTATAGGCAAAATCATTGGTCGCCTATAGAAACACATCGGCAACAGCAGCAGCATTGAAAACCTCGATTCTCAAAAATGATCAGTTTTGATTTCTTTATAAAAAAGTATTACTTGATAACATAAAAAAGGATCAAATTGCTTGATTTTCTACAGCTTTATGGTGTGCATTTTCTTGACTTGCGTTTCGAGTACAATAAGCGTTTCAATGAAAATCTGTGTGTTTTGCAGCATGCCTTAGTGCCCTGTCTCCCTAATAGCGAGTAAACATTTAGTCGCAGAATAACGCATAAATACCAGAGACCTTATCGACTGAGGAATCTAGCTGTTATAAATTAAACATTGTCGATGTCTTAGAGTACCGATGAGTCGAATGACAACTCATGTCTACTCGGAGGTGATATGTAGCAAAATAAATACTTCGGAATCAGCAAAGTTTGATCTCAATGAAATGCGAGGTTTCAACAGCCCAGCAAAGTTAATTGTTATAAAACGGTTATAGAATTTAAAAGTTTGGGGTTTTTTGTATGAAAATGGATAAAAGTGTGCAAATGTTTTAAAATGGTTTTTAGCAAATAATTCGAAATTATAAGCCAAAGAAAACCACAGATTTTTCAGGACCTCTAGCATAATAACAAACTGAAGGATATTTGGAAACAAACAAGCTAGGGAAGATCAAAAGGACTGTGGTAAGACTTGCAAAACATTGAAAACGCTTATTTACGTAAATGCTCTTAGCTTCTGCCTTAAATTCGAACTTCCATTTTTTCGATGATTGCGAATGCAAGCGCTGTGGCTTGGTCAGAAAGTTTCGAGTAAAATATAACCAACTGCCGGCATGCACAATAATTTCTTTGCAAAATGCGAAAAGATTTTATAATAAATCATGCAAAGTTAAAACTCAGACAATAAAAGACCCCAAAATATATTAAAAGTCAAACGTGAAACGTAAAACATTCACTGGCTTATCTTATAAATCGTCTGCGGACTACGTTCGGACGTCATGAGAATTTACACCGAGGAATATTTGCGGGAACTTAAATCATTCCTTATTTTGTTGATTCCTGGAGATGACTTAACACTGCATACAGCTGCAGGGGGCAGGATTTCTGTTGTTGCACTATGTTCTCCTTTACGGCATAACATTTGTATTCTTCCTCGTATGTGAAAGTAAAGCGCCACGTATTCAAAAGCATGCGATCATCGGAGCAAGATATATATTGGCGTGACGTTTTGGATTCTAAATCAAGCGCATCATCAAAAAGTTGCAGATAAGAGTAACGGCGGCAAAAGGAGTACAGTACTTACAGCACGTGGATGCCGTGGGTACATATGCGTTCTACAATTATTAGCTCTTGCAATCACCGCTGTAGTCGTAATTGATGTGATGCTGGCTTGCCAGTCCGCAACCGAGTCGTTTGGTGCCGCAATTTCATCATCCCTGTTGGATGCTGGTGTGACAATTTCT